CTATCATCATGAAACAATTGAGCCCAACCACGTCAATCATGAGTCCGAGAAGCCATCCCATAGTCACCACCATAAAAAGAAAAAGCCAATTCACGGCTATCATCAGGAAACCACTGAGCCCAACCACGTCAATCATGAGACAGAAAAACCACCCCTTAGTCACCCCCCTGTAACGAAAAAACCTTCACATTTTGACCACCATGTAACGAAAAAGCCTTTACATATTTACGTGACGGAGGAGCCCTCATATGTTGACCACGATGATATCGTTGAGCCTTCTCACGTTGATCAACATGTGATGCAAAAGCCCCCTAGTTTTGACCATCACGTAAAAAAACCCGCGTTTAATCATCATTACGAGACAAATAAGCCATCTCACGTGCACACACATGGAACGAAAAAGCCCTCTCACATTCACCACCACGTGACAGTTAAGCCATCCCACGATAATCACCACGTTTCGAGAAAGCCTTCACATAATACCCCCCATGAGAGTGAACAGCCCTTGTATGACAACTCTCACGATACGGTGAAAGAAACTGTTCACCATCACTTACCAGAGGTGTCCCCAGAAATACCCCAACACGAGACAGAAAAGCCTTCCCATGTACATCACCACGAAAAACCCACGCACTTTCAACACCACACTACGAAGAAGCCATCACATGTTTCTCACCATGTGACGGATAAACCTTCCCACGTTCATCACCCCGAGTCGGAGAAGCCCTTACACACACATGACCACTCGGAAAAGCCTTCGCACGAACACCTTTCCGAGCCAGAACAGCTGTCGCCCGTTGAGCTTCAAGACATTCAGGAGACAACCAACGTCCCGCACCAGGTGACGAAAAGGCCCTCGTCGGAGGACCCCCACGAACACATTCATCACCATGAGACCGATCAGTCGAAGCCCCCTCACCACACGAAGAAGCCTTCACCCCCTCATCAATATGAAGTAACAGAGCCCTCTTACGACTATCTCTACGATGAAGTGAAACCCTCCCATAGTGACGACCTCAAGCCGTCTCACCATCATAAGGTACCGAAGCCCACTACCAGTAATCATAAGAAGGTAGTTAAGCCTTCACATAGTCACCATCCAAAACCGTCACACGATTCCCACCCCGACACAGTAAGCCATTTGACAAGCGAGATAAAACCATCTTTCACAGAAACACCGGATTATCAAGCGGCAATTAAACCTATGAAAAACGATTATGTGAAATTAGTTAGACCCACGAACTCTCAACCCGCACAGAACTATTATGAAGATGTGGTAGTGCCCGCTTACAGTGACTACATCGATGAGGCAAGACCTTCCCCGAACGAAAACTTGGAACTTCCGCCAACTCACACTGACGAGTCCGCTCATAGTCTTCATCAGGAGGTAGTTAAGCCTTCCCATGGTGAATACTTCGAGATAGTTGAAACGCGAGGCGACAACACCCAGATTGAAGAATCCTTGCCTGCTGAACTTGAAGAGGCCAAAGATGTTTATGCTGAAAACGAACAATTATAGTTTTTTCGAGAAGTCCTTACAAAAATGATTTTATGTCTTCTGGTGAATGCCACACATAATCGGGAGATAAACGAAAGTTAGAAAAATCATCTTCCTGTCCTGAAAAGGAATAGTTCGTATTCTACAATGCGAACAAAATATTAACCCTCCGATATATTTATGTTATTTATTTAATAAATCTATTTATTTATAACTTTACCGCGTAGATAAGATTATTTATTTTCTCTATTTATTACATCTTTTTCAAATTATTTTAATACCCGTTACATTCAAAATAATATCTTTTGAAATTTTATACAGAGTAAAATGAATATTATTACATTACAATCAACTATAATACATTATAGTACGCATATCGAGCAGAATTCAAACTGAAAACACTTTATTTTAAGAATGATCACTCTTGACACGTGTTTTAAAAATTAAAATCGTTGAATTTTTAATTGAAGTAATCACACGGAATTCAACATATGACTTTATATCAATTTCGAGCACATATGTTTTGTACATATAATATAATTGATTTTTAAGAATGAACTCGACGGTGAAATCGTGCAAAAACATTAGAATTCATTGGTCTGCAATCAGAAGCTGAAAAACGTGTAAACGTGTTGCTGAAAAAATGTGGTTGTTTACCAGTGAATGTACTCTATATGTTTTCTTATTATGTTGAATTCATTTTGTTTCTAGTTTAAATGTAATGATGGGACAATTTTTCTTTTAAATATAGTTTTTCAACCGATATCATAATTTGAAGCAAAGATTTTCTGAAATGAATCTAGTAGCAACAACAGTGAGAAATATATAACAATTTTATAGTAATGAAAGTGTCAACAAAAAATCATTTGTAAATAAATAAGTGACATTTTATCTTTATAGAAGATGAAGTTGTTTTCACTTGAACAATAAAACTATGTTCACATGACAATCAAATAATGTATTTTCGTTTAGTTGTAAAACATTAAATGAGATCTTAAAAGATAAATGTTATTTAAGATTGCATTCACGTTATTAGAGTAATAAACTACTTTTCTATAAACAGACATACCTCTATCATTTCAATTCCTTAAAATATATTGACATAGAACTCTATGGCAATGTGTATCCTTAGAAAATTATAAGTTCGTAAAATGAATTTCTTTACATAGTCAATATTTTGTAGATAAATTTCAGAAATTGGTCGGTGAGAAAAGGAATTTAAATAAATATCAAATCTATATTTGTAAAAAAATTGTATTTCCAAGTTTCAAAAACACATTCAAGCAGAAAATAATAACCTATTTTTTTGCAAGTTCATGTACTTGAAGTACATTTTTTGAAATATTAATAATTTTAAAAATATTTCAATACAAACAATTTTACTTATTACTGAAATTGACTCAAATATTTAAACTATCAAACTGCGTTATTTCCTTCGTGTAATTTTATCATAAATTAATAGTAAATCTTCCTTAGAATTAAACTTACATTCACAAATAGGGAATATAATTTATTGTAATAAAAATGTGTACATACATATTTATTCATTTTTTCTAAAACATGAAAAATAATAATTCATTATAGTATTTAAGATATCGGTACACAAACATTTGCTGAATAAAACACGTCGTTCAGATTTTAACATGGTTTCAAAGCGGTTGATAGAAATGTCTACTTCTACAGAACTAATTGTACAGAAGTTTTCACCACACATGCATTTTGTTCGAAATATAAAAAACGTTCTTTGTGTCTACTGCGTTTACGAGGAGCTGGATCTCAAGTGAGTAGTAGAACCGTGGAGGCAAGTGATGGATCCCTGAGTGGGAGAAGGGTGAAAGGGAACAATGGAACACCCCCTCCCAATCCCATGACGCGATAAGACAATGACCTGCAAAACTTATTTGATAGTTTTCGATGGAGTTTCGCAATGTCTCTAAGAAGCTTAAGCAAGGACATGGTTGAAATTTATTCTACCTCCCAAACACCCTCTCATCCTTGGTTAGAGGGAGAGAATGAGTGTGTGTATGTATATATATATATATATATATATATATATATATATATATATATATGCATAAAGGTGCAGCACATGAAATACATACCTGTACATGAACATTACTTACAAGTCATTGAAAACTTCTTATTTACGTAATTGGTTATTCCAATCTCGTCTCACTTGAGACTGCACTAAAAATAGAAATTAAAATTCTATAAATCTTGTCTGCCTTAAATTTACAAAAGAAATTCAAGTTGTATAAAAACGTCTTTTTGTTAATGTAATGTTGAGTTAACGTCGACTCATGGTTTAAAACATTATTAATTTTTCCTTTAAAGCTTTTTTCGGTAGGAAATGGGGATTTGGCTATTGAAAGCTGACACCGGAGGGAGCTATATATCATGGCCCACAATAATCCTGTTTTCTTTATTTGAGAAAAAACCTGTAATTATACTGCACGCAAACTTGGCTAATTGAGGGTTTGGTGCACGACTTTCACTGTGAAGTATCGCTACTCATTCAACGTCGATACGAATATCGAGAACCTCGAGATATGCAAATGTCCATTTCAGATAAGAACTTGTTCTCTTTAAAAGACACGCCGGCTATGGGTTAACTAGCGACTGTCGTAACAGTATTCGAGATATATTTGTATTCTACAGGCAGCCGTTTGTTTCCGGAGTTTGTGCTAGAGTGCAGTCACTCGTCACAAGATGTCCGCGCGCGGCATCCTGCTGATGGCGGCGGCGGTGGCGACGGTGCTGCTCCGCGCGGCGCGCGCGAGCGACCAGTCGCGCGTCGACCAAGTGCCGTCCATCTTCGCGCACATCATGCGCGAGGAGCAGATCTACACGCGCGAGCCCTGCGACGACGACAGCGCCGCCGACGCGTTCGACTTCGTGGTGGTGGGGGCGGGCGCGGCGGGCTGCGTGCTGGCCAACCGCCTCAGCGAGGGCGGCAACTGGACCGTGCTGCTGCTGGAGGCCGGCGGCTCGGAGACCTACTCCATGAGCGTGCCCTACTTCATGGGCCGGCTGCAGCAGACCGAGTTCAACTGGAACTACCGGACCGTGCCCTCCGACACCGTGGGAGCGGGGCTCGACGGCAAGATCAACTACTGCCCGAAAGGCAAGATCGTGGGGGGAACCACCGTTTTGAATGCGATGTGCGTCATTCGGGGGCACAGAAAAGATTTCGATCGCTGGGAGGCCATTGGGAATACGGGATGGGGATATGAGGGCGTGTTGCCGTATTTTAGGAAGATGGAAGACATGCAGATTCCGCATTTAAAGAACAGTAAATACCACGGAAGAGGCGGGCCGATAAAAATCGATTACTTCCCGTATCAGTCGGAGCTGAGCAAACTAGTCATCCAAGCCGGAAAGGAAATGGGCTACGAAGAGTTGGACTACAACGGCGAGAAAATGACAGGATTCGGCAGAGTCCAGACGACATCTTTCAACGGCACGCGCTGGAGCGCCTCCAGAGGATATCTCCACCCCATCCGCCATCGTAAGAACTTCTTCCTCCGAAAGAGGAGCCTCGTCTACAAAATACTTATTAACGAAGGGACGAAGACGGCGTTCGGAGTGAAGTACAGAAGGGACGGGAAATCCTTCACGGTGTTCGCGCGGAGAGAAGTGATCGTCTCCGCGGGCCCCATCGCAGCCCCGCAGCTCCTCATGCTGTCCGGCGTGGGGCCGAAAGAGCACCTCCAGAAGCTGAAGATCCCCGTGATCCACGACCTTCCGGGCGTTGGGCGAAACCTTTTGAATCACGGAGCGTATTTGGGGCTCATCTTCACCACCGACAAGCCGCTGTCGCGCACGCCGCAGCAAGTGTACGGCGACGCAGCGAACTACGTCGACTACTTCACGGCGCATCGCGGCCCGTTGTCGTCGGTTGGGATAGAGACTGTGTCGTTCCACGAGCTCAAAGGCACCGAATTTTACTCGCCCGGGTACCCGCGCTTCGAAAGCCAGTACGTGTCGTCGACGCTGATCGTCAACAGGGAGACCGCTGGGGGGTTCCGTATTCCCCCTCATTTGTACGACACGTACTTCAAGCCTCTCGAGAACAAAAATTCATTCCAAGTGTATGTTTTTGACCTTCGTCCGAAAAGTGTAGGAAAGCTTACACTTGCCGACAACAACATAGATACACCTCCTATAATTGATACGAATGTTTTTGGAGAGGAAGAGGACGTAAAAGTCACCATTGCCGGTATTCGAGAAATGATAAAAATGATGGATACCCCTAGTTTTAAGAAAGTTGGAGGAAAACTATATGATACTCCTCTACCTGGATGTGAAACTTACGCTTTCGGAAGCGACGATTACTGGAAGTGTGCTATTCATAAACTTTCCGTGATATTCTATCATGAAAGTGGAACATGTAAAATGGCACCAATTTCAGACAAAATGTCCGTAGTTAGCCCAGAACTGAAAGTACACGGAATAAGAAATCTGAGAGTTATTGATACTAGCATAATGCCATTTATGGTGTCAGGGCATTTATCTGTAACAGGATACATGATTGGCGAAAAAGGCTCTGATTTGGTCAAGAAGGATCATGTATTATAGCAACCAGCTCCTGGCCTTTTCGAGTATTTTACTTCGTGGTTGAATACTTGGAAAGGTCAGTAGGTTTACAGGAAATGGCGATATCGCCAGCCATTAAGACAGTAATTAATCTTGCATTGACAATGTGTAGTGAGTGGCAGTGATTTGTTAGTGATAAAAATGACAAATCTAAAAGAGTAGCTAATTGTAAGTCAATATAATATATCTGAAATGAAGTGCTTTGTAATGTGTAAATAAGTAGCAAAATGACACTTCAAACGTAGGTAGTTATGTATGTTTAATTTTTTTGTAGTTCTATTTCAGTACTCTGTAGAAGTTAGAATTGTATAATAATGTAGCACACAGTAATGGTAATGAGAGTAAATTAATCTTTCTGAACTTTCACAAAACCATGTCAACCAAATGTAACGAAAAGTAGTTATTTTAAACTCGTAATAATTTTCAAATGTGATTTTTAAAATACGAAACTATGTACTTTATTTTTTGTCTGCAATTTTTGTGATGTACTAAGACGTTTAAAACTAATAGGGGTAGAAGCAAATGTTTAATGAAATTGTTTGACCTTCGATTAATATTTATCTTAACATAATATGCTTAAAATTATAGTTCTAGAATGTACATAATCAAAGTTATTTGACTATTTCAAGAAATTAAATGATTGTTATAACGCTAACGTTTGCAAATCTTAGTACGGAAATTAACAAATGTGACACGTAGAATAAACTCCGCAGATTGTTCAAATGTACTGTTTTAACATCACACGTGTTTGTTCAAAAATCGATATACCACGCGGTGACATTTCACCCTGCCTGGAGTGAAAATTAAAGTAACCAGTTACAAAATAATTACCTGCCTTAGACAGGACAAGGTGCATTCATATGATAACAAGCATACGGTTCAGTACGATTATAAGTAACATTTATTTAATTTTGTATTACAGCAAATTAAAAGTTCCTAGTTCACCAAAAGTCGTCATACCGAGTTTTAAGTTGACTATATCTACTTCATTGTGTTATTGCTTCTCGATCCTTGACAATTACAATGATAATGGCTCTAGAATTGTTTCAAAGGAGGAATTGTTGACGAAGTCATTTCTCTCCAAAACGCCAGCTACACAATACTATTGTTCTGAACTGTCTGTTGAATCTACTATTGTAGTTTTAGTAATAAAACATTTCTCCTATTGTTTTCTCGCTGAATCATTAAAGCATGCTAGATAACGTGTGGGATTGGTGCCACCCCAAGTCACCATCCAAAATCAAGCGTTCAGGAAAAGACACACGAGCGTTGCATTAACGCGCGTTTAACTCGGATATACGTTTTAGCTTGTACTGTGGGTCTTAGTAGTGTGTGGTTATATCCACGCGTATTCAAAATGTTTATTCTAATATTCCAATATTATATATTTATATTATAATTACTGATTTATTTGATTACCCCGTTAAGTGTTAATCAGAAATGAATATGGACGCAGAAATCCACAAACAAGAAATGGATATTTTGGTATATTGAAATTAATAGTACAAATATAAAATTAAGGATTGAAAGAAATTTTTAGGCATTTAAATGTCAATTTTGATAAGAGATCGACCACATAAACTTCCTGTAGTTCGGAGAGCAATTCGTGCACTGACTCTTCAAACACTTGAAAATAATAAAAAAATATATTTTCTCGCATCTTATGAAAAAGACCGAAGTAATCACCATGAGAGAGCCTCGGACTTTTAATAGGTTTCACCCATTGTCTCTTGGACGTTTTTCTTACAATTTTCAGCGCCCCGTAACCTAAAGCAGCTGTGTAGATGGCGCCCATGTCAAGGACGGAGAAGTATCCGAGGTGCGTCGCAAACGACGCTCGTGTGCTCAGGATTCGACGTGCGTCAACGCAGCACACACCAACATGTGGTAACGCGCGCTTTTTTTATTTATTTACATAGATGGTGATTTCATATTATGATGGCTTATTTACATTAAAACAAAAAACTAATACGGTGGTTGAGGTTACCATGGGCTTCTCTAGTCGGGATCAAATCGTAGAATTCCGACCGATCAAATCGGTCTATAGTAGTCTTTAAGTTCAATTATTTGTGTTATCATTTATTGGTGACATATGAGGAGGCATTTGAAATATTCCGGAGAAATAGGGTTGGTACTATTTAGTTTCCTTTGTTTTTTGCTGCATTTACCAGATAGAACAGGCATATAATGGCTAGGGTCTTATTATTTATTCGTATGTTTTAATCTGAATTGTACGATCTTAGACTGTATATATCTTTAGTTGTATTAGTTTAATTCTAGGTTGAGTAATTTTGATATCTATATATTGCTGCCAAGATGTTTTGTGATGATGTTCAGCACTTGGAATCAGATTCAATTATTGGGAGTAGGGGATAATTGCCATAAGGATACCAATGGAATTCAGGACATCCTAAATATGTTTCAGAACAAATTGTTTGTTTGTATAAATTAAATAGTAAATCAATTAAATTTTATGACTAGAAAATAATATATCAAGAAAAGAAATACATATTATATCAAGATAAATTACACTGCACACTTTAAAGATCAACAGGGAGGCCATTCTTTCTCTAGAACGAATTTACCTGACTTTATCTGAATTTTTAGGTTGTCCAGGTCATTTCCTTATTTTTCCGCGTCCTAATTTGTAAACTATTCTAGTATAATTAAATAAAATTTTAAATAAAGCATAAATTTGGTTGTTTTTAAATCACTGTTATTGAATGATCTCTTTTCGCCTTTGCATTCCATATTCTCGTGCACTAACATATTGTGGGAGACAGATGCACTTCGATTCAAATTACACAGCACACCATGATGAAAATACATGGGTGAGCTATGGCGCATCGTATTTGACGTCAACCAAAGAGTTCCAGGCACCAGATTGAGACACAACATTAGAAGGAATTTTATATCCAGGCAGATTCCAAAATTATCACCTAGTCACAAGTCTTTAAAACATATATGAAGCACTAAAAAAATATTGCATATTTTATTTCCATTACAACTTCAACGTGTTATTTTTCGTTGAAAAGTGTCACTTTGCACCACTTTCAAAATGTTTCTCATCATCTCTCGCTCTCCACGCAACAGGGTGGACAGCGTCTGGTCTGACTTTTCAAACGCAGTTCTATGTTGTGGTCACGGGGTTCGTGACGTCAACTGGTGTTTCGCAGAACGCGCAAATATCGGTGCGCCAGACTAACTCTCCTATATATCATGCCATTGCACAGAACCTTTATCTATTTTTTAGCTCTCAGATTGCACCGCAAAAGACGAAATAACAATTTTTACTTTTACAAAAGGAATTAGCCACTTACGTTCTCTACATAGTGCAGAATTAGGTAGTTCACAAGTACTCCCAAAACGCAATTTATGCAGGATTGTGTTGAATTTTAACAGAGTATAGAAGTTCAGAGCATTTGGCTCGAGATTGTCGTTTGTGAATGATTTCTAATTTTAATCTGCGCCTATATCTCTTTTCAATTTTTAGGATACGGAACTTAATGTGTATGTCAAAAGTGTGCTTTGTGCTAGGTGATCAGCGAAGTGCGATTTTGTAGAAGTGTTATTTTTCAATGCTTGTTCATGTTCTTTGACCCTCTGTGTGAATATCCGGCCTGTTTGCCCTGTGTATATGGCGTTGCAGTTGATGCAAGAGAGGGCATTAACTCCACATTAGAAGATGAGGGTCCTTCGTGCTGGCTAGTGTTTTTGTAGAGTGTGGATAGTGCGTGTTGAAAATAGTGTTGACACCGAAAGTTCTGAGTGTGGTGGGTACAGGTGTGAAACCCACTTCAATGCCGCTTTCGATGGTGGTTAGTTCAGTTCTACCTGACCACTTGAATCCATTGATTCACTGCTGAAGATACGTTCATACACTTGATTCACTACACTCCTGAAAAAATTATTGTCGCCTACATTGTTTAGTGTTAAAATGGCTTCCGAAATTACCATCCCCGAGGATAGTTCACCTTCGTTTTACATAAACTATGCAGTAAGGAAGAAAAACTATCACTTTACTGAGTCAGCGCTGTTAATTGATAATAACGACAAAACTGCTGATTTCATGCCACGCAGCCTTGCTGCACATTATCTCAAGTACGTCACATTCCCTAGTTACAATGGCTTATCGCGCAGAGCGCTCCGCGGTGGTAACCGACACGAGCTGAGAACAAACTGATGGTAACGCACTAACGCAACGCTCGTGTGCCGCCGGCCTAGGGTCAGAATAAACAAATACATGTCACTTAAATGGTAGCTGTACTTGCAATGTTTTGTTCTATGAGCCTATAGTGCCTGGAAAGACTCAACGGTCCTTTAATAGAGGCGGGCTTGCTCGAATTGATAGTAGAATATGAGATAATAGATACACATATTATGTACGAGGGCTGTTAAAAAACTACGTGGACTGTCATAAAATAAAATGTACTTCATAAAGCATCGTAGGCTTTCACGGCCGGGGTCAATAGAAGATAAATTTTCCGAGCTGGTAGGCCATGGTCCAGTTGGCATTGCAGGGCCAAACTTCCAGCCCGGAAAATTTATCTTCAAAATGTACTTTACTTAGAGGTCTAGGATCCACTCCAAAGTACTCTCCCCTCCAATGTACACACTTATCCCAATGGTGTTTCCACTAGTTTAAACAGGCCTGGTACGCTTCTTTTGTAATGTCCCTCAGCTCCGTCACATTTGCTATAATCTCGGGAATAGTCTTAAATAATATTTCTTTCAAGAGTCTTTTGAGTTTGGGGAACAAGAAAAAGATACAGGATCATGATCAGGTGAGTAGGGAGGGTGGGGAAGAACAGTGATCGAGTATTTGGCCCAAACCTCACGTGTTCTGAGAGCTGAAGGGGCTGGAGCATTGTCATGATGGAAAAACCAGTCGTCACTTCCCCACACCAGTCCACACTCCCCCCAAACCAGTCGTCCCTCAGACGTTTCGGAACTTCAATATAGTAATTTTCTAATATAAGCCATTGTAACTAGAGAATGTGACGTACTTGAGATAATGTGCAGCAAGGCTGCGTGGCGTGAAATCATCAGTTTTGTCGTTATTATCAATTAACAGCGCTGACTCAGTAAAGCGATAGTTTTTCTTCCTTACTGCATAGTTTATGTAAAACGAAGGTGAACTATCCTCGGGGATGGTAATAAGCCTTCTGGGAGATACTCGTGGCGAACAATGCCCTTAGAATTTAAAAAAAACTGTCAGCATCACCTACACGTTGGACCGAACTAGGCAAGCTTTTCTGGGTCTGGGGGACGTTTCACCCGTCCACTGCGACGATTGGACCTTTGTTTCATTGTCATAAGCATAAACCCATGATTCATCAACAGTTAGGATCTTTGAAAGAAGTTTTTATCTTCTTGTGAGCGATCAAGAAGTTCCAGACAAAGCTGGACACAATGGGCTTTGTGTTCCTCCGTCATCAGGCGTGGCACAAATTTTATAGCAACGCGGTGCATCTTCAATTTGTCCGTCAAAGTTGTCATGATAACATCCAGCTGATATCCTACACGCAAGAAAAATTAACCGAGAAATAAAAAAAAAGCTGTTGAGTTGTGTAAATTTTTAATTTTTTTATTTTTGTGTTATTTTTTTCTTTCTGAACAAATATATTCATTTTGTGTAAATAATAAACAATTTACATTTTTGGAGTGTTTCTATGCTTCTGCAATGCAAATTTTTACCTAGAAATCTCTTTTTCAAACCAATTTTTGAGTGCTTATTGCGGCTCAACCATTCGGAATATCCCAGCAGTTTATTTAGACAAATTACGCATCTGCATTGCAATAACTTTAACCGTTCAAAAATTACAAGAGGTGCTAAAGTTACGTCACTCACACTGTATGAAGTTATTTGTTATAGTGTATTACCCAACCCTCCGAAGTGAAATTTAGTTGGTTAGCTAAACTACCTGCATCAGGGTTGAC